TGTTTTCTTTTTGTTTCTAAACTGGCAGATACAAATTCGCAAGTTGCAGCAATCCTCAGAATGAGAAGAATTACCAACAACGAAAACAGCAAAGAGAAGAATTACCAACAGCAGTTGCAAACAGTTTGATGGGCGTCACTTTTGGTTGCAGCGGCAGGGTGACGACATCGTGTGATGGCGATGGGATTCTGGTGCAGTGGTGAGTGATCGGGTCTGTGCAGGTATGCAGCAACATATCAGCTTCTGGTTGGGTTACAGCCGGTGAGACGACACAGGTTGTTGAGGCAGAATCTGGTGCATGGACTCGACTGATTTGGCTGCAGGCGGTGACTGAAACTCCAAATTCAGATTTTTATTTTTGGTTTTTCTGCTAATTAAATCAACGACAAAAAACTAGCATAGAAACTGACAAATAAAATACCAACCCGACCAAGCAGATTAAATTCCGAAGGATTGAACCTGCTGTGATACCAAGTTGAATATCAGATCGAACCTACTTTGATGCCAAGTTGAATATCAGAGTGGGCCACGAACAAGGCTACAAAATAGAATATTATTAAATAAACGAGAATGCTGATATTCCTACAAAACTCCAAGATGCTATATTATGAATAACTTGATTCTCAAACTAAACTAAACCTAAAAAACCCTAACTCGGATGGGCTAGGCCCAATTCCTAAACTAACAACGAAAACCCAAATAATCATAATATACTACTATTTTCCAACATCACTGATATCATCTTGTATCGTTCTATGTACAACTCATATAAATGTTTTTCCTATAATATGAAATACGTAAATCACCTTTATGTGTATGCATGCATGATTCTATTTACGCATTATGTTTCTTGGGGTCTTTTGATATGGGTCCAATTTTATAAGCATGTTTTGAATGGAATCCACTTATATTACGTAAGCATAAGTGGGAGCTAGTAAGTACAACAATCATCCATGTCAGCAATTAAAATGCACATAATTTACCAACAAAATTACAACAATTGCCATTGGACCCCTTTATCAGGTCTCTTGCAGATTAATCTCTTTGTTTATTCAAAAACTTTATCCTCCCATCTTTCAAATTGGTTTGCGTCTGTGTCCAGCGGAAACCTTGTTTTGAATCCTAAATCCGTATGAAGCTATGAAAGCTTTAAAATTTCTCCTAGTATATGATGAAAACAGAATAGGCAAAGATCTAGTTCTGGCTTCCCGGTATACCTGGAGAATAGGTATTGTAACTTCTCCAATCCATCCGAATTCATTGTCTGCTAGATAAGTTTGGGTGTTATGTGAACTGAGATATGCTTTGTCGTATCTGTTTTTTAATTTCAATTTCAATTGAAAGGGGATATGCTTCATGTTTCCCTTTATTGATTGCACAATAAGATTTGTTTGTAATCTCAGATAATGTTATTTTGTCATTATCTGGACATAGTTCGTAAATGTAATTTCTAATTGTATAAGGATGGGTACTTTCAAATTGTTGATAAAAAATGGATGTCGGTAATTTTCCTACATGTTAGGTAGTTTAAAGACATCCAAATCTATAGGTATACTTGTAGAACATGTATTGTAACTTCTCGGAAGATTTCAGCTTCATACATGGTCATATGGTTTTGTTTTTCTAATATTTTGGTTTTTGTGATTTGGGCTTTGTTTTTGTAGTGTTCGTTATCTGGATAACAGGTATTACACTCCCTCGATTTCAATACCAGTATTTGATAACAGGTGCCACCCTATCTTTGCTCTAAATTTCTTCCCTCTTTGTTTTTTTTTTTTTTTTTTTTTCACTTCAATTGTTCGAGATTTAGAGTTTGACGACGGGTATGAATTGGTGGGCAGTGTTTACGACGCGTTAGTGAAGGTTTGCACTAGTTTGAAATTGACTAGGGGGGTTAAGAGGGTTTACCAGTACATTATTAGTAATGGCCTGTGATACCTAGATTACAGGTATTGCAATTCATCTTTAATAATTGGTGTTTGAGTCATTGGAACTTCAATACTAACCTGGGTAGTTTAAATTGATACGTCGTTTACCTTGTAGAGTTACTTTTAGAATAATTAGTTCAGATTGTTAAATTAGTCTCTTTTTAACATTACTTATATAAATATGATATGTAGTTTGGCTTGATATGTTATCATTTGGGCATACACCATTCAAAGAGGCATAACATCAAACACTTTCTGTGCATTGGTTTTTTTTTTTTTAATAAAAAGAGAAAGAAGCATATCAAGGAGAGATGATAGAAAGGGATTAGGGGGATTAGGATAAAGTCTTCATGTTTTGAATTCGCACAGCAAACAACAATAAAGTGGAAAACAATTATAATATACCTGACTTGAAAGTTAATTGGCATTCAATCTACTATGTTTTAGTCCTTTGATAGATGGAGAAGGTTGAGTATCGACAAACCACGAAGGAAAAACACGATCATAAAAATTGTATCTAGAGAATAGGTCTCCTGAAGAAATCTGCACGTATAAACACATGTAATTTGTATAGAAAGTTATAGAGAGTTAAAAGTGATTAAGCCTTCCTTAAAAATAGATTGATAAGAAATTCAAATTCAAAAATTGTTATCAAGAAATTTGGGAGAAAGATGAAAGACCACTGAACAATGAATTTGAATTCTGATAAAAATTTAAAACGTGGGTAATATATGGAGAACGTGCAAAATCTATAGGAGGGTAAAATAGTAATAACAATGCAAAAAAATCAACCTAATCAGAAAAATTGTTGACATGGAATCCTAGTCATTGGAGCTAAGTCAAAAGTAACTAAAAATTGGACTAATCCTAATGTTGGGCTATAAAATTGGACCTATTTCAAGTTTCCCCATGTTTCTTTGGGAGTCAAATGGCATATTCCCTTTAAGAAGAGCAACATCCTAGTCTCACTAGAATTGTCCTTCTATTTGAAGTTTATCATTTGAGAAACTTTCTAGCATCTTTTGTCTATCAATAGGGGTTGAGATAATCCAATTATATCTTGACATCTATCATTATAGATTTCTATCCCAAGTGTATAGACCATGTCTTTCATATACATCATATCAATATAGAATGCTTAAAGTCATAACTTTATTGAAGAAGAATGCTTTTCATTCCCAAAATTTAATATATATTGTGTATATATGTTCAAATTTAGGAACATGATTAACGCCCACTAATCTTTTGTAAACCTAGTAAACAAAAGATTATTTACATCTTTATGAGAGATCAAACGATTTGATCTCTGTCTCATGAGATTCTTATAGCTCCCACTAGCTTCCTTAGATTCATGGTGGATGGATCTCTACAACTTATACATCGTGTGATTCCTAGCCTTAGACATATATTCAAGACTATCTTGATAATGGTTTCAGAAACCCATATTATGTCCAAATGTTGAATCATCATTTAGTTATAGCAAGCAATCTTCGAATTAATTGAAACCAAGACTACGTCAAAAATGGTTTCTTCCAAGTCAACCAATCTCTTTGATTATAGTCACCTTAAACTACCAATTAGCTTTGAAGGTTTAATTATTTCAGGTCAAATGGTATTTTACCATTTCCTTGAATATATGTCATACACACACTAAATGTAGTCATAAGGATCTTCACTCTAAGTCTTTTGAACTAAGAGGTGTAACTCTATGATCCAGTCATAAAGTTCAAACCATTCAATTGAGACGGTTTATAGATCCTTCTTGACTATCTTAGAGCTTGTGGGGTAGGAACTAGGTTGTTCAATTTATTGAGTATCATCTTGTCTCTCAAAGAACTCATTCCTTGAGTTCTATGTCTCGTTCATTTGCTCTATCTTAGGCACAATTTGTTTTTAGGATTATAATGGACTACCCAACAAACAACCTTTGTTAGTTGGTCTATAGAAGTGATATCCTAAGATTGACTTGAGGATATACCACAAGACTATGCTCAAACAAACATTGCTTATTAGCACACATTCATCAAATTATTTGACATATGCATGACAACCACAAATCTTAATTTGATTAAGACTTGTCTTTCTTTTCAACTACATCCTATGGAGTTGTGAAACATTTTGGAAGACATTCTAATTGACAATCATATTGTCTTAGAAGTGTATATCCTTTATATGGGTAATTTGATAATATGTAACGAACTACATCTAATTAGAATTCGTCCTTCTCCTAATAAAGACATCCATTATCTTATGATGCAACTTTCCTTGATTCATTTCAAGAAAACTCTTCTAATGTGTTCATTTTCCTTTGATCAAATCTAAGGAGAGAAATACTTTAGACATCCTATTCATCAACCTACATTCTTGAATTCTTTGAAACCTTTTGCAAAGTATTTAGACTTGTGTTCATTCAAAATATACGATAGTGTAACTGAGAGTGATCTTTGGTGAATGTCATTGAACAGAAGTAGTATTTTGTAGTGGACATATTCCATTAACATCTGAGTGAATTAACCTCAACAACTATGTGACTCTTTCTTCTTTCCAAAAGAATAAAGATTCGAACTTTTCGCCCTTATACAATTTTAACAAGAATGCATTGGATCCGGATCAAACAATCCAAAGCATCCATCTAAGGCTGACTTGTAATTTATGTTTTTAAGATGTCACAACTTAGGGCTGGTTTGGTATTGCTGTGCTTTGAAAAAAAGCTGCTGTGAGAATAAGTGGCTGTGCTGTGAGAATAAGCGGCTGTGAAATAAAGCCAGCAAAGTGTTTGGTAAACTTTTTTGTAAAAGTGCTTTTGGAAACAAAAAGCAGTATCATAGTGTTTGGTAAACTTTTTTGTAAAACAGCTGTGACTGTGTGAAATGACCAAAAAGGGTATATTACTAGATGTGCTATTAATTTAATTTTCTTAACAAATAAAAGTGAATTACTAAATATATTTTATTTTTAGAAGAAAAATATTTATAAACTTTATCTTAAATATTAATTAGTATGACAAACTACTTTAATAGAAATATTTTAGAGTGAATAGCTAGGATTCATTAGTACAATATTGTTAATGTACTTGAAAGTAGTCTAATTAGATGCATTCATCAAACTTGTTGCTATTCTATTTCTTAATGCCTCTATCTCATGTGATCCTTCAACTTGATAATTTTGATATTCATCATCATCATCATCACTACTATCGCTTTCTTCACAAAAGTCCCTGGGGTCATCAAAATGACGATCACGTTCAGAATACCTCCGTATGTAGTTATGAAGAGCCATTGTAGCAATGACAATCTTCACTTGCTTATTGAACGGGTAATTAGGCATATCCCTTAAAATTGCCCATCTTTTCTTCCATACCCCAAAAGTTCGTTCAATGATGCTCCTAAGAGAAGAATGCCTGTGGTTGAATACCTCTTTGTGACCCGTTGGTTCGGCACCCCTACGAAAGTCCGGGAGGTGATATCTTTCACCTTTATATGGTCCCAAATAACCTCTCATTTGTGGGTACCCCGCATCTACCAAGTAATATTTTCCTGACAATTGAAAATTTGTTTTGTATTGTAATAATTATACAAAGCAAGTATGTAAAATGTTATAATAAGAGTATGAAGATTACCATTTGGAGGCTCAGAAAAGTTTAAATTTGGATTCCGTAGCACGGATAGAAAAACCCTTGTATCATGTGCAGTGCCTTCCCATCCGGCACAAGCAAATGTGAATTGCATGTCAAAATTACATGCAGCCATAACATTTTGAGTCGGTATTCCTTTCCTACCAATGTATGGAACTTGATCCGGAGGTGGTATTGAAGCCTCAACATGCACTCCATCTATGGCACCAATACAATCCTAAAAATAATAATATAAAAGAAAATCGTCAACCTACACTTATAGTTTGCAAATAAGTTAGAATACGAGTCAAATTTTACCTTAAAATAAGGCATGTATCTTGTATCTCTCCTTATTTCTGGGGGAATGCCACGAAACTCCGAATCCATTGGTTTGATAATATCTATTGCCATCTTACATACGATATCCAACATAGCACCAAAATATCTACTAACAGTCTCACCAGAATGTTGAAATCTCTCTTGAGCTAATCTATTTTTCACACCATGTCCCAACATATGCAAGAACATTCCTAATATTTCAGTTGCATTCATTTTCCTTGAACCTTTCAATCCATAATTAGTTTGCAAGTCATTGGATAATCTATAAAAGACATCTTTGTTCATCCTAAACATTCTATAACATCGCACATCATTTCCTTGCAGTACTTCCATCAACCAAATATTACCTGTATGGGAAGAATTCATACATGGAGTTTTGTGGACATATTTTAAATAATATGTTTCAACAGCTCTCGCTACAGCGCATATAATTAGACCATCCTCCAACTCCTCAACATCATCATCAGAGGTGTTCATATTGAATATACCTGTAACCTAACACATAATTCAACATTCCACAAGTCATAATCCAACAATCACTAAGAAGTCATAATCCAACAATCACTAAGAAGTCATAATCCGACATTCAAGAACAAGCCAATCCAACGTTTAACAAGAAATCATAATCCAACATTCAATAAACACAAAATACAAGCCACATTCAACACATAGTCTTAATGCAAAGTACAAACTACACAAAGTTCTAATTCATAGTTATAGCTTCTTAATGTTCTTTGTTGAACATATATTTCAACCAAGTGAGCTGAACTTCAGGATCTTGTATCGTAGTAAACACCTCTCGCTTCTCTGCAGAACAAAATAAACATGTAGCAAACAACCATAACTCGCTAGGTGGCTCACAACCAGGCAATTGTGCAACAACCGCTAACACTTCCGGAATACTACTACCTATATGCAGCGACCTCATCAATGAGTTTGCAGAACTCCTAGTTTCATAAGCTTCAACAAGACGGTCAATTTGACCACAAAGTTTTGCAGCACCTCCAATTTTTTTCCCCTTCTTATCAACCTTCTTCTTTTGCAATTCTCCTTGGTTAGCCGCTCTTTTTTTTCCCTTCCTACTTGCTTGCCTTAGATCCTGCATAGTCTCAGTTTCTTCCTCCTCATATGAATCAATTTGTCCTACAGATTCCTCTCTTGACTCTGGTGGTAGTACTCCAGATGAAGGTGCCCAGGCATGTTCACCGGTAGCAATTGTACTCAAGAACATCCTATCTAACTTGTCCTCCATCTCAGGACTAATGCCTTTTTTTCGCAATTTTCCATATTCTTTGTTTATCTACAAGTAAGAAAGAATATGGTTAATACATATTGCATGATATCATAATACATATTAAAAGATAAATACACAAACCTGAATTTTATTGTTCCACCACTCCTCAGAGGCATCAACGGTACCCTTGCTTGCATTCCACCTTAAGCCAGTTTCTTTACCAACCAATTCTTTCCACAACTTCCACTCATTTTTAAGTGCATCCCACTTATTTTTCAGTTGCTTTTTTTCATAATCATGCCCTGTCTCTGCCTTGAAGTTAGCTCTAATATTTGCATATCCTTCTTTGTCAAAGTGAGTGCCCGGACGATGTCCGGCCTCAACCTCCTTGATGCAAAGATCACAAAATATTGATATATTGTGCGCATTCCATGTAGCTACAGGATTTGACGAAGATGCCCCCTTCTTTGCCATCGATACCAACTACTGATTTGTATATATACATATATATATATATTAAAACACGAACAAATGATATTGTAATATAACCAAAAAATAACCGATAAATGATCCACATACAACAAGCATATACATTACATCACAAATTGGGTTCACAGTTTGTATATATACATACATATAAATACACACATATATATATAAATATATCAAGAAATAACCAATATATATATAAATATATACATACAGGATTTAACCCTTATTTACTTTTCATCACAAAATTCTAATTCTTATTTATAATTGGTAAAAAGAAAGGGCTTACGTATGGAACACTTCTTTTTATCCTTGCCTTCTTGGTAGCAATATTTATGACGATAACACTTTACTAACCCTATATAAAAGGAGAAAGGTCAAAACGATGAAGCAAAGATGACCGTGGCATGTAACAAAACCAAATGGATCGTCGAGGATCTGCCCCAAGACCTCCACCCAATGCAGAACTACATATTATACAACATATATATTGTAATTTTTTTTTTTAATTTCTTAGTGCCTTTTAACTGATGAGCTTACTAGTGTTTGTGTCATCCATCTACATTTACGGTTAATTAAAAATTAACATTTTGTGTTATGGATGATCCATCGATCGATCGATCAATGATTTGTTTGTACTATATAGATCGAATTGACAATCTCATGGTAATTAATGAAAATCTTAGATTGGTCTTAATTGATTAGTTTTGATTGTGTAGCTATGTCCTGGGTATGAAATGAAATGCTTAAAGGAATTTAATTCGCACCGCTGTTACTACCAGTAGACATTGATCGAGCAGGAGGTAGGAAGCAGGGAGTGCACTGCACTCAAAGAAATATAACATGCTTGTGCCAGCAAAGTCAAGCTTTTCGGCCAACTTTTGTGTTCGATATACTTTTGCCTAATTACTCCATGCAACTAATGAAAACAAATTACTTGAGCTTAATTATAAGATAATCCTATGTTTTAATGTTAGTGTGTGGTGGTTTCCAATCCACTACTAGTCTGTCATGATTTCTTTTTCCGCAGTCATTTAGCTAAAAACACATGCAGGACCACTCACAGCTCCCACAAAGTGAAATCGCCATCATTACTAGCTAACAATTTAGCTCCTATAGAATAGGTTCTATAAAACTTATAGAATTCCTTCTTCAGTATCTCTCCAAATTAAGAGTAAATTGAAACTAAGTTATAAAGAAAGGGACTACAAAATGTTAGATATAGAAGATTATGAATGACAACCATGACTGTTACATAGGCAATACGTCTGTGAGAAAAAAATGGATCACATGACTCTTTTTATTTCATATGATGGATGAATATACATGACTACAACAAGATTGGTAGTACTCTCTCTATAAACACTCATGCACATATATAGCTGGTCAAAAGTATAATAATTACTCTTCCTCATACTTCCTTGCCTGATATGCAGGTGCGCCTACATACTGAACATTAGTAATGGAGATGGAATCTTGTGTTCCACCAGGCTTCAGATTTCACCCGATAGAAGAAGAACTTGTGGGTTACTACCTGAAAAGAAAGATCAACTCACTACATATTGACCTAGATGTCATCGTTGACATTGACCTATACAAAATCGAACCATGGGACATACAACGTACTTAGAACCAACTTAATTTTAACATTTGCAGCTTGACTTCGAAATGGCATAAATAGATATGGTCCTAAGGGCGTTTTTGTGTTCATACTATATTTATATTTCAAAATTTTGGATATGGCAACGTGTAGAAAGAAAACAACATTGGAAAAATGCGCGGATGCTTGTTGGTAGCAAAATCAAAACAAAACAGATAGAAACAACATAAACACAAATGCTACTCTCTGTCATCTGCAGCTGTGAATTACTAAAAATACAGATGCATATGCAGCTGCAGCTAGAAACACAGATGCATCTGCAGCTGTGAATTACTAAAAATACATGTTCTTACAAGGCAAAACCCATGACAAATCAGAAGCACATGACAAATCAGAAGCACATGACAAATCATAAGCACAATTCACATATTAGAAGCAGAGCAAAGCAAATTATCACTGACATATACCCAAATCAGAAGCAGACCTTCTTCAAAGCAAATTAGCCCTGACATATACCTAAATCAGAATCAGAAGCAGATCTTTTTTGTTTCCTCCACAAACCCTAATTTTTTCCCCAATTAATTTTTTCCCAATTAATTTTTTCCACAAACCATATCACCCTTCCCCAATTAATTTTTCCCCACCCTCCATCCCCAATTGTTTTTCCCGACACCCATACCCTCATCCCTTTGCTCTTCCCACCCCTCTTTCCCTAATCTCCCCATCCCTAATTTGAAAAATCCAAACACATAAATGAGAAGCTTACCTGGAGAAACCTGGAGAACGAGATCGAGAGAAGGAGAGAACGAGAGAGAGCCTGAGGTTCGGAGAAAGGCGAGAGAGCTCTGAGAACGAGAGAGAGCCTGAGGTTCGGAGAAAGGCGAGAGAGCTCTGAGGTGAAGAGCGTGCGAGAGAGTTTTTGGAGAAAGGCAAGCGTCGGTGAAGGAAATGCCGAGGGCAGTTTTGGGTTATGGAAATTTTCATTAAACCGGTTACTGTTCACCCGTGTGTGGGTGAAAATAAGCAGCTTTTGGAAGCTGCAAATTGCAGCTTCTTGTCATCTCTTGGTTTTGGGCTTTTTTTCACCCTCAACTTTGAAAAAAAGCTGTTTTTCAAAGTTTACCAAACACCAAAAATTTTCATAGCTTTTTTTCATAGTAGCTTTTTTTTTAAGCACCTCAATCCCAAACAGGCCCTTAGTACTGTTAGTCATTACCTTGTAACCTTTTGGGTTTTATGCATCATTATATTTTAATAGTTAACATTGCAACATCATCTCTAATATGTAGAGACAATCAATTGAATTAAAATAATTCAATTATTCATTAATAAAAAACAATCCATCTCTTAAAATTATAGTGACGGAATTAAGTACCATATTCAAATTCGAATGTAAAGACAATCTTTGTTTTTCCAATTTCTTTGGTAGTTCATATGAGGAAGTAAGTACTAACTGCTTTCACAGAGATCTATATCTTTATTCACGTTCCGAATGTGAAGTGCTTTCTCTTCTGTCTTTAATCTTCTACTTCATATTAGTCACTCTTTTACAACGATTACAAAACATAGACATTCAAGTAGAAAAACCAAATGTGTTGAACTGTTTCAAGAACAATCTACAACACCTTCGAAAGGTGTATTCTCGACACTTGAAGACGATGCTTGCAAATAGCCCTTCCAATGTCCATCCTTTCATAAAGAAAATTTGTTCCCTTGGAGTTATTTTTCCTTTTTTGTTTGACTTCTCCTATGACTACAATTCATGGTCCTTAAACTCCCATTTTTGAAACTTATTTCAATTGTGTTATACATATCAAATGATTTGGAGAGCATGTGGTTATTATTTACTATATAGTTTACAATAAACTTAGTGAACCATTTGGATAGGAACACAAAGGTGAAGTCATAGCCTAGTTTCCATCTAGTAGACTGGTTTAACACTTCAACACTCAATATTCAAAATCATCATTAGTCCATATGATTCAAAATCATCTTTCTCCATATTGTTGAACTTTCATCCCTTAACAACTATCTTGTTCCAAACAAGATTACAAACATTCAAGAGTTGTTCAAGACATATCTAACATTTTCTTTAAATTATAAATTATCAATAAAAAGGTGGTGATACATTTTCTAGTTGTGTTATCCTCATTATGTTAGACATATCTAACATGTTATTCCAATGATATGTGATAAGCTCATATTTATATATATTTTATATCAAATTCACTTGTCTTTTCTTAGTTAGTTCCTTATATTTTTGAGCTATTTACTTTGTTTTTGTGTTTTGTAGGATTTGTCAAGCAAAGAAAAGAAAAATAACACAAGTGAAATTTTAAGTAACAAATTCGTCAAAACTGTCTGTGCAGGTCAGCTGACTTTGGAAGCAATTTGCGGACAGCTCAGAATGAATTAGAGAATGAGCCTTATATGCTTGGAAAGCTAGGGATGTCTATTTTCTGGAACATTTTGCGGATTGTTAATATCATTTTTCTAGAAGAAGTTATGGCCGTTTTAACATGGAAAAGTTGCCAAGAGGTTGAGCAGTTTGTAACTGACAAGAAAGCATTGAAAGCAATAAATCTAGCAGCCAAAACTGATGCAATCAAGAACAAACCAGCTGACACCTATTTAAATATCAGAGGAAATGGAATTAAAGATGAAGATTAAGAGGGAGTAATTGGCATAAAGGCTACCCAAGGAGTTACAATTGTTTTACATTTCCTCTCACTTATTGTCATCATTAAATGGCTATTAGTGGGTGAGTTAAGGAGAAGAAAATGATGCAGCAAGAATTGGTTTAAAAGTAGCATTGGGGAAGGAAGGAAAGAGAGGAGAGCCTTAGTCAATTTCTTTTGGTTCTATTTTCTCAAACTCATGTCTATCTTTTGTTTTAACTTAAGGATTGTGTAACTAAATTTTTAGTAGTTAGGGGCTGTTTGAAGCCCGGAATATGATTGCAAGTTTGTTATGACATTTTGTTTGAATTACTTGTATAATGGATGAAAATTGGTTCACTACTTGTCTCATTGATGAATTCTTTATGTGTTTTCTACGGATGCATACTTAGTAAGCATATCTAGGATTCTAATGCTATGAATATGTGTGTGGCTGCCCTTGTTGAATGAGGACCTACATATGTTCTAGAGTAGTACTTGTTAATTACGATTAACATGTGAACCAATTTCTAGGATAAGTAAGACAACGCCAGTACTTACGATGCCTTGTGATGACTCAAACTCTTTTCGTTCTTAATGATTTCTACTTGTTAAATCTATGAACACACCATTCTAGATTGCATGCTAGGGACTAAGTTAAGTTGAAAACGCCATTCTCTTAACATACTACATAAGAAAGAGTAATAGGTTGAGTTCTAACATTGAGCCAACGTGAGCATCTTCATCCAGAAATAAAAGGAA